CTGATGTTACAGTTTGCAGCCTATGCATAGGCCTGTTTTATTCGCATCAGCTGTTGCTAACTAGCTGTACCACACGCCCTAAAAATGCATATGTGTAACTGTATCAGCTCTATCTAACAATTCGTATACTTTGTCTTGCATTTATCAGCGCTCTTCAGTCACAGAAACACCACAAATGAAAGAGAAAGTTTCTTTTGGTTTGACCACCTCGCCCCTCCTCCGATGTGAACCCCTCCTCTACCACAGTGCTGCCGCCTCTTACACTACTTCTACGAAAGAAGACTTGACGTTCCTGATACTAAAAATTTCCATGATAAAGGGTTCGGTCATTTTTTTAGGCGTCCAGATAAATGCGCCCGCGGATAATAAGAAGGCTATAGCTTCAATCCTTTCATTTAGAGAAAAATTCAAACTCAGAATCAGAATGGTGCTAAAGTATAGTATGCAGGTGACATTCCTTGGTATCGACCTGAAGTCGGTAAACTCATAGCAGCTGTCAGCAGCACATATGTGGCATATTAAATAGTAGTCGGAATGGGCGAAATAATTTTCATGCCAATCAGGAGAGCCCTTCATAGCAATCGGCAGATCAAATGCCACCCTAGTGGGGTCTGCATGTGTGTATTGGAGTGAGTTTGAAATATAAATGCCTCCAGGTCTTTTGTGTACCGCCTGAAGTACAGCAATTGTCCTACACAGAAAGTTTTACTTCTTTTTTTATACCACTATAAGTTTGTGACAGGAAAAACATCAATACCACTGACATCTTCCAACCATGCTAAGTGAAAAGTACTTTTGCTTGAGGCCAGACTGCTTCTTTCGGCCCATGCCGAATGATGAAATATATATGAACTAGCGGTACTTTCTATACCAAAAGCAACCTCTTTCGACCTCTCTTATAGTTCCACCTGTGAATGTACGTTTCGTTTTTTGTGATATTCTAACGGACATGTGAACACAACTCGCTTTAACAATATTATTTTGTAATACCTTTTGATGGGACACGCCTTATGTTCCATGCATATAAAATATGACTAAATTTTGGTCTCAATTGAATAATGGTCTGTTAATAGGCAATTATCAATAATGTCGTGATTATTCTGAAGACAGCTTTCCCAATCCCTATGTGTGATAGGAACGTACATCTGCCTCCAGGAAAAATATGCAGTTAGGACCTGCCGTAGCTATAACTTTATCCATTGAATTTTTTGCGCTTAGATTGTAAGAAATTAGATGTACTAGTATATTGCAGTGCCGCGCGCAGTTGTACGTTTTCATTCTCAACCTACCTGTAGAGAGTCTCATAGTACTTGAATTAACTTACAAGACAATGAAACCCGAAGTTTGTGGTTCCATCCCGGCTTTGGTGGTCGCATTTCCACGCAGGCGAAATGATTGAAGATGGTGTACTGTGTGACGCCCGTAAAGATTGAACATCGCCACATGGTCAAGGTTTCCACAGCCCTCCATTGTGACGTCTCTTATAATCATATCGTGGACGTTCAGCCCTATAGACGCTAATAACAATATAATGATGGAAACTTTCTCTGGCTTACTCAATGAATGAATGAATGAACTTCAATACACTTTTCTTGCGCATATTTTCTTACGTTCTGAAAGACATCTTAATAACCGAGGTTGACCAATATAAATAATTAAGCGTCAAATTTAATAACAAACTTACTTTGTCACATCATATATCTCTTACATGCTCTTCAGCCTTGCGCAAATTGTGGTTTTTGAAAAGAAAGCTTAGCAAAGCTCCGGCGAGTACAAAGCTTTTGGCATACAACGCAATTGTGCGCTCAAAACTTGAATATGCAGCGGTTGTATGGGATCCTTATACCAAAAAAAAATATCATGAATTTGGAGCGTGTGCAGAGAAAGGCTGTTAGACTTATTTTTGAAAAATACAAAAGAGAACACTCCCCTTCTATTCTAATGCTTACGAATAAAATAAGTTCACTAGAACATCGCCGTAAACTTAGTCACCTACAGTTCCTGCAAAACATAATAAAAGGGGAAATTGGCGTTCAGAAGCCTCATTTTTTAGAGCTCTAAACACACGGTCGACTAGACACAGACACAGCTTTTCTCTCACGCCTATATTCGCCAAAACCAAATCTCAAATGAACAGTTTTTTTTCCGCGCACCATAGAAGAATGGAACTCCTTACCTGTTCCCGTCGTACAATCTGAAACCTTTACAAAATAATTGGAAAACTACTTATCTTAATATTTATTGTTTAAACATTTCTTGCAATTGTGTCGTGAATTCTATGCGTCTTGCACTGTACGTTTTTCTTCTTGCATTGTTGGTCTTTTTCTGAATGCCTTGTCACTTAATTATTGTATTTGACTCTCCTGCAAGGGCCAGCGTATTGGCCTGCAGTATCGATAAATAAATAAATAAATAAATGAATAAATAAATAAAATTACAAAATTTTCATGTACACTGATATTAGCTATGTCCAGCTCATTGTGGATAATTTTGTGATTGATACTCACAGAAGTTGTCCTTGCTTTCATTCATACACATTTCTTGGGCGTCTACTATTCCCTACAAAAAATGATCATGTAAGCTAAAAAGAGCTGCCAACTTTCAGAACGCTTAATTTTTACGATTGATGATCAGCAGTCTTGATATTTTCTTCATACTTTAAAAATCGAAACTACTCGTAATTCATGCGCAAATTTTGCATCATGCCGACGTAGCGTACACCATTAGTTACGCGTGAAGATTTTAAGTGCTGCGTCAAAGGAAGGATTTTTATGTTGAATGGTTAACAACTTTTCTTATCAATGTAAACTCATCAAGTAGATGCTTCTTAAGAGAACGATACTACAAAAAATAGGACAAGAAAGAAACAAAAGTTGTTACGTAGCGATGCAGTGACAGATTGCGTAAGCACCCAGCGTCCCAATATCCCAACATGTTTTACTGAAAAACATTAGGCCAATATTCAAAACTTTTTACACAGGTACAATCATTTGCTTTTCAATATACACGCCTCTTATTCGAAGTATATATTTATCACTGAATTTCCTTGCAGCTTTTGTTCTCTGGGATGACCTTCGATTGCGCATTCAACGTTTGAAGGTGTATGCTAACATCCTCTTTCATGCGTGTCAAATGATTATACACATTTTTGCAGAAGATGAATAGGAAAAACGTAAAGGAGCAGGAGGGCGGAGTATCGCACAAAACCTTAACGCGATCTTCCAGTCGTGGTTTTCGAATAGACTGCTCTTCTGAAAGCGGGTTTATACGGGGACCATCAGCGCAGAAAAAAAAGCCCGAAGCTGTAATATGGGCGTTGCTAAGATCGGCGTGATGGATATGGCTCGTGGGAGGGCTGAAACACGTCATTCAATATTCTATCCTCCCCCACCGGCACTTTTCTCTTCTCTGCCTCTGTCGCCTTTGTTATCGTCGAAATGCCAAAAAAATGAGAAATGCTCCGGCGCGACATCACATTATTTGAGGGTGGAGCTCTTCCTTTTTTTGTTGTTTTTAACTTTGCCCGTACGGGCAACAAATAAAGTTAAAAAGAAACAAAGCGGCTCGCGAGAAGATGCGTTCGCGTGCAGCCTCGGCCACAGCCGCCGCAATATAGCCCTACGTGCCCACCATAAGACCCGAGCCAGCCGTCTGGTCCTTGTTTATCTTCTATGCTAGTTCACTTCTTTCGTTCGCCGATCGTTGATCCTTTCTTTTGCGAATGGTATTTGCTTTATCGCCGTACGTTCCTTTTTCGCGTGACTCTGGCATCCCATGCCCCGTAAAGGATTAATTGCGCGCTGCGTCACGTCGGTTCGGGGATTGCATGTCCTGTTTGCGCTTCGTACCAGCCGCTTCCAACTTAGCGGTGCTTGTCACGCAAGGAATGACGACAGTGCTTGGTCCGATGATGAAGCGTACAACAACTCGTGGAGATAGCCTCAAAAATATACGAGCGCAAGCTGACCACTAGTACTGCCTCCCTTCGTTATGCTCAAAGCGATTCACTGTATTAGCAGAGGGACTCCTCAAAACGGATAGCTGCCAGAAGTGATAACATCAAGTGCACTACGAGGGTGTAAAGCCTGTTACTAAAATTAAACGTGGTTTACAAAGCCCGAATTATAGGAGACGTATAAGAAAATTATGACAGTATAAGAAGCAATATTTGCAGTTTTAATATGTCTTTTATGTAGGAAATCCTCAATGATGGAAACTTAAGGTGGACTAACAATAAACTCGCTATCGGAGAGGTGTCAGTACGCTGCATAGACATTTTCCTTAGGATGCATATACAATTACGCTCTACGGTTGCTCTTGTGTCACCTACTTTATCTAGCAATATACGGATGTGTAAGCCAAGGAGTTCAAGCCTGTGGCCACTATGACCTCTGCGAGGAACAGAAAAAATCCCTTTTGTCTCGTAAATCCTCTTGGCACGTGTTGTGACGAGTGGTCTGCCGATTACTACCAATTTCTATGCTAACTAATAAAGTTGGACACGCCCATTACGCATAAATAGTATATAATGTACAATTTTACGATATACATTTACTGCCCGCTCATATATGATTTATTACAAATAATATAAAATGAACACGTGCGGGTGGGTTTCATTCATATTGTATAAAGCCTTTTGAAGAACGTGTCTTCCTCGCCTGCTTTGACACTCAGCAAACGTCTATTGATATGGTACACTTATTCAAACAAGAAGCACTAATAAAATAGCAAAGAAGTAAAAGAACATACCACGGTGCTGGGCACTATACCATATGTAAATATATAACTGTAATAGAAAAATAAAATAATCTGGAGAGAACACCCTCACAGAAATACAACTCAGAAGTGAACGAATGCTTATAATTGCTACAGTATTGTAATCCAAATATGCTTTCAAGCTGTAAGCGTTTCTTTATTCATTTGTCATAATTATTTTCAGACTTAGTCGCTTTGAATTGGCCGTACGGTAAGGAACTGTGTCCAAAATTTTTTTTTCGCAGATGTTTGCCGAGCTGTGACCATCCGACGCCTTATCGTGCCGCGCTGGGTGCGCAATGGGTCCGAGACGCCCGCCGTTCTCGACTGCGAGTACGTGTACAACGAGAACGACCTCAAGCTGGTGGTCAAGTGGTTCTTCAACGACGGCGCCGAGCCCGTCTACCAGTGGATACCCGAGATGGGGGTACGTGAGGCGTTCGGAGTGCTGCGCCAACGCCTGGACGACACGTTCTCTGTGAATTCTCGCGACGCCTACTCGCAGTACCGCGCCATCCGCATTCTGAGGCCCACCTGGGAACTCAGCGGCAAGTACACCTGCGTCGTCACCTCGCTTGCCGGACAGGATGCGAGGCATCAGCACATGACCATCTTTGGTAATTTCCACCCTCTTGTCCGCTTTGCGCTATTTCTTGCTGTTGATGCAATCGTCGTCTTCATAGTAGCACTATCAGTCGTCGTATCATCATTGATAATAATAATGGCACAAGCACCAATTACGATGCATCGATGGCTTGGTTAGACAAACCTCTACAAACTAAAAGACAATAATGTGAAAGAAAGCTTAGGGGACATTATTTACAGTTTAGTGTAGTAATTACTGCCAAAATTGAACGGAAATCAATGGACGAAAAATTGACCTGTCGCCGATGGGACTCAAACCTCCACCCTTTGTATTAAGCACCCGATTCTCCCGAAAAACACTTTACACAATGTTGTTATATAGAAAGAAGAAAAAGAGGTCACCTTGAATCTGCTATATACTGCATTTGCTCATCCAAAATAAAAGAAGTGATACGATGAGAACCAGTGTAGTGGGGACCGGAAGTTAACTTAGAAGAAAAAGTTATTCGAATGTTGTTTTTTTATGGGAAAGAACGATCACGCATCAGCGCTCAACCGAAACATAGGGTACGCATTAAATATGAACGCGTGGCACCGTTCTAAAAGGACCATCGGTAAGCAGGATTACGCTCTTTTCAGATATTGTGTTCTTTAATTTGTCAGACCTATAATTACGAGTATTGTAAGTCGTTGTTCATTCCACACATATTTTTTAACTCGGATTATCTACTTCCCAGTGTTTACATTGGCTAACAATAGTCGCATTGCCGAAGAGAGGGCTGCAACTACAGTCACCGTCGTCTTCAGCCGTCAAGGACGGGCAGTTGTCCCTAAGACATCGATCTGTTTTGCAGACGTCAACATTAGCACAACTTATCGAAACACTTTACACAACCACAGCGGTGCAAGTCCTAATGTTCTTGGCATACGGTTTTACATGTGTATTTTTCTTTACTTTTCTTGCCTCTCGCAAGGCAGAACATATAGAGCGACTTTCAAGGGGCTGAATCAGCAATGTTGTTCTGATGTTTTTATCATCTTTCTTTCTTTCAGCTTTCGGGAAAAGACATGCACTTAAAGAAGAACAGGAACATTGTTTGGCTTTTCCTTTTTTCTGAGTGGTTGTTTCAAGCTCTATTAGTTTTTGAATTTCTCTAGAGCCGCTTTCGAAGATGACTCACAGACCAGAAGCGAGGGTTAGTAGGTCAGGCATATGACGCGCATGCTCGAAATTGCGATGTAATATTCTTTGTTCACATGAGACTTCTACAAATGGTGAACTTAGGTGTGAGGAAGCTATACCGCTCATTTTGCAAGTATCCGGCTTAAAACGTCAAGAGGCAAAATACTGTTCTTATACTATCGCGGAAACTTTGAATTTACTTACACGCCGAAACGCATTACAAACCAAAGTATACAAACTGGAAGCACCTCAATCGAGACGAAATATGTAGAAAGATTGGCGGATGTTGAAGATGAATGCTGAAAGAAAAAGCATTCCGAAAAGTCCTCACCAGCTTGTTAGATCTGCTGGTTTAGGTAACCAAACAAGAAAATGGTCAACCTTGCGTAAATTTAGGAGACAATGCATTTTTTAAGGCTTGGCTTACAATTTAAGTGTATATAAAGTGAGTTCTCTGGTATTATTTTTAACTATTTCTCACACAACGAATTAAAAGACAACGTAAACAGGAAAAATAATTATTTACCACCTTGAAAAGTTTCTTCCTATAGTTTGTCCCCATCGTTAAACATGAAATTGGACTTCCAGAACCTCATGCTGGTTCTCTCTGCCCATTGAGGAGAATCGGTTCTTCCTTATTTCAGGAGATAACCAATGACCCTCGCCCCTACAAAAGTCAGTGAGTGATGAATTGTGCTATCTTTTTCAATCTCATTGATATAACAAGGAAAAGTCAGAAAATGATATAGGTGATATCAGCGAGGACTTGCAGGGCATAAACGCCACTAGCTAGTAATCATGTCTATCTTTGTTCAAAACCTTTAAAGACGATACTGCTTAACGACATTGATTGCGTCTTCCATTAGAAAATTCGGCAGATCCCACGTACCTTGGGAATCAACGTTATGCAAAGCGTGCGGAAAGAAAGTGACTGCACCATAAATAGAGAACGCCTACAGAATGACCCTAAGGTATTTCAAAATGTTGTACGTGCTGTCATATCTTGAACAGTCACTTATGCTTAACATAACCAGTTGTTTACCCCTGCGTAATGATGTGAGCAGCAACATCAGGCTTAGCAACGTCAAAAGCGGTAGGCTTATATGTAGCGCTTGTGCTCGCAAGGATGGTAGCCCTGACGTGGCTATAACATGAATCAGTATCAGTGGATGGCGCTTGACTTAGCCTGACGGTAACTCGACCTGATGGCTGTGTTATAGGAGTACATAACTAATGTCTATATAATTGGATGACACGCATTGCTACTGCAATTAAAGTTTCACCCACATTGCGCCTGAATGGTGTTTTTTTGTTCTAAAACAAGTTTAAGACTTCAAATGTGGCTTGGTGGTCGAATACTTGATTACCACGCAGATTGCTTAGCTTTAATTCGTTCTCAGCCCCAGATATTTATTCTTTGAATTAGTCCGGTCAACACAGAAGATGTCAGCTTATTTCTGAACGCTCACGTGTTAAAATTACCAGTGTCAGTTCTCACCGTTCCAGGGTAGACATGAGCTGCTAATAACTTCCGGGACATACCCACAATCCCAAGGCACATACACGCCCGTGGTATACTGATATGTACTACATGGCCGTATATACTTATGGTGTCATTCATTGACAGATTCGGAGCAATTCTGGTCAAACTTTCTTCTGCTCCATGCGGAAAAATAATGTATTCAATCGGCAGATTGAGGTTGCTCCCTGTATGTTGCATTGGTAGATCTGGAGCACCTACGTCGCAGGGTCCACTCCACAGAGCAACTTTTAGGGGCGAAGCTCCTTATAGCGGCACACGATTGTCCTTCGTAGTCGTAGCAGTAGTAGTAGTAGTGTGTAACCAGTCTTACATTTTGACCTCCAAGGTGGTGCCGGTGGGAGATTTCTTCTTTGCGTTGTTGAACAATAAAAAATTCGCAGCGTGCGCGTTAAATAAAAGCCGAATTATCCTGTCTCTCATTCCCCCTTAGCAGCCATTGGCATAAACATTGAGCACTATCTGACAAGAAAGAGTTGCTACGTTATGCTCGCTGGGAGTAACCTCCTTGGTTTTAGAAAGTTTTAGCGAGCGTTGGGCCTAAGGCAGCGTTCACACTGATCATTCCGGCCGCCGAAAATGCTCCGAATCCGGTTCGGCGGCGGCGAGATCCGCTGAAAGGGCCCTCTCCGCACCGATCGCTCTCGGACCGATTTGTGCGGCATCTGCCCCCGAATCGGTCACTGCGGACCAATAGGAGCCCTAGTCAAGAAATTTTGAAAAATGGCGGCCAAGCCCTACTCACTTGTTATGCCGCAGTGCACGTAACTGAATGTTGAAACCACCGGGAGTTTAACCTACTCTGTGCCTACTTCGCCTCCGTATTTCGTAAAGAGGTGACCGAGCTTGCTGTTGGCGTGACCGAGCTTGTTGCGGTCTTGCAGAGCAAAACGAACCCACCAACGCCGCTGGCGTCGGTGGTTTTTCTACCCTTCGTGCATTACAAGACAGCCACTTGCCAGCAAAGTAAGCCGTACTGTCTTTTCTTGCTTCCTGCGTACAACAATCGTCGAAGTATACACCACCGGATAGCGTAGTGGCGCTTGCGAGCCACGACAACAACCGGGTGACAGCGCATTCATTCCGCGTTCGGCCCGTGGTAGATGGCATATTCGGCGGGGCGGGGCGCGTCCAGTGCGAACGACGCTGCTTTTCGACGGCAGGGGAATTTCGGTCGCTGTAGAAAGCGGATGTTTCAGTGTGAGCAAGGCTTAAGCGCCATGAATACAGTGAACTAGTATATACCATGAGCTCGAGGTGGTTAAAGGTGGGAAGTAAACACGAAGCGCAAGCCTTAAGAAAGTGTGCATGTTCCTCCTCTCGTTCAGTCCTTGAAATGCCCGCTGGATGGCGGTGCTTCTAAAGGTGGAAAAGGAGGAATATATGATGAAAAGATGCGAGAAGGTGGTACTTGCAGTGTTGAATAGGAGGACGAACGGACACACAGACAGATGCATGGATAAACGCACGGATGGCTGCACGGATGGATGGACGCATGAACGGACGCAGGAGTGTATGCATGGATAAATGCAGGGATGGACGCACAGATGGACGTGCAGACGCACGAAAAGACGCACGCAAGGACGGGTGGATAGACGCACGGGCGGCTACACAGACGCACGCATGGACGAATGGAAGCAAGAACGAATGAACGGACGGATGCTTTGCCCCACTCTCCATCATTCACTCCGTGGATATGCTGCTATGGAATGTTGCTCAAGGTGCCGACCAGTGCGGACGCGCGAAGATCGGCTCCTGGTATGAAGAATGCTTCTTCTGGTATCCACGAATTTGTCGACGAGTTTTTCAGTGATATCGTGTGCCTAAGTTCTCAAGAAATCAGCAGATACCACCTTTGTGCTGGTCAGCGGACTTTTAAACCATTTTAGATGCGGAGCATCTTATACTCGCGCCTTGTAGTGCGCCGTCCGCGCCGTCCGCACCGCTTCTCGAACATTCGACAGCTGACGCGCGCGCATGCGCCGTCGCGCCGTCGCCCACTCTTCCACCATCTGTGCATCCCTTCCTCCTCTACACACCGCGCGCGCTTCACTCCTCCACCATCTGTGCACCCTTCCTCCTCTACACACCGCGTTCGACATCTACAATTCTCCTGATTCTCCAGTGGACGCGCATGTGGCGTCGCGCTTCGAGAACATTCAACAGCTGACAGTGCATGCGCCGCCGTGCTGTATATATACTCAAGGTCGGCGCTCGCTCGCTCAGTTGCCGCTCGTCGGTTGGTTTGTACGGCGCGTCGACGTCCAAGGTCGCGGTGAAATGAATTCCAACGAATCCACAAACACAAT